TAGTAGTAGTGGTAGCAGTAGTAGTTGTAGTAGTAGTAGTAGTCGTCGTCGTAGTAGTAGTAGTAGGAGGAGTAGTAGTAGTAGTAGTAGCAGTAGTCATAGTAGTAGTAGCAGTAGTAATAGTACTAATAGTAGTAGTCGTAGCAGCAGCAGCAGCAGCAGTAGTAGTGGTGGTAGTAGTAGTAGTAGTAGTAGTACACAGTAGTACGCAGCAGTACAAAGTAGCACGTGGTAGTAGCATCAGTGGCAGCAGCAGCAGCAGCAGCTTTAGAGCGTACTGCAGCCAACTTAAGGGCGCATGGCGCACTCAGGACTGGGATCCGAGCGCGCGCTCGACCCCGCCCCCCCTAAGATCTAGCCAAGCTGCATGGTGTCGAGGGATACCTGCTCCACGCATGGATGGCTCAACCGGAGTGTTAAGACTTGTGACCGCAAAGTCTACACAACACCTGATAATGTGTCAAGCCAATCAGAATGCAGGTTCCCAGGCTTCCATTTAAAGTGATCCCGCTTGTCGTTGCTTCACCATGAGCACACGCCCTCCTGTGTCATGCTGAGGCGGGGTTCTTGAAAAGGCCCAGCCTTCCATTCCATCCGCGCAGGCCGTTTGGGCGAGGCTCTGCTCGTCGTCAGGAGCCTCATCGCCAGGTTTGCCGGGCCAAAGAAAGCAAAGCTGAACAAGGCCCTGGCCAGGGCATCAGTACACCTGGATCTGTCGCAGGGCTCTGCTGCAGCTTCTTCGCCACCACGCAATGGAGGCGGTGGAGGAGGCGGGGCGAGAGGAGGTCGCAACACAGCTGCAGCTTGTTCTTGTGGTTCCCGCCGTCCTGGCACGCAGTGCTTCCTGGGCCCACCAAACCAAGAAAGCAGATCTCAGAATGCACTCAGTCCTAGAGAGCGGAACACGTTGAGCCGCTCACTCTTGCCACCTACGAGTTAGCATTCACCAAACTGAAGACAAACAAGTCACAGAATAACAGAACAGTCCGACATAATCACCGCGTGGGCACCTTTGCCGAGGCCTCTGCCCTTGCCATCCGGGCGCTTGGAGGATTCGGACTGCGGGTTATTCAGCTCGGCTTGCAGGTATGTCCACAGCATCTGCCGCTGCTCATCGAGATCGACGTTGTGGAGTTCCCCAGGCTCGTTAGAAAGCAGCTGAAGATGTGCAACTTGCTCCAAGAATTGCTGCGAGCAGTGGTGGAACTCTGCCCTGAGCTCATCATCTCGTTTCGGAACAGCCTCGCTTGAAGCTCGTTCTGCAGCCCGCTGCTCTCCCGCAAAACCTAGAGCTGCGGACACTTCTTGCCTTTGAAGCTCCATCTCCAGCTCCAGTTGTTGCAACATTTGCTGGCAAAGCTGCTGCTGTTGAGACATGTGAAGTTCATGCTGCAACTGCTCCTGAAGCTCCTGGCATTGCCGGCCTCCAGGCTCCTTTGCATTGGCTTGTTCCAGCTCTTGCAGCAGCTCCATCCCGCAGACTCGCTGCCCCAAGGCTTCACGCCTCTGTAAAATTACCGCCAACTCCTGCTGAAGCTGGTGCTTCTGGTGTTCGAACTCTTGCTGCTGCCGTTCAAAATCAGGAGCTCCCGGCTCAGCGGGCAACTCGCTCTGTAACTCCGCTGCCTGAGCCGCTTCAGCCGCTTCAGCCTCACCAGACTCAGCAGGCTGCTCAGCAGCCTGCTCAGGGAAGCCTTGAGTTGGACTCTGCTCGTTGGGCCACGGGTCCTCGACTGCTTCTGACTTGTCATCGGGATACATCCGCTTTCTCAGCAAATGTGCCGGAGGTGGTGTTGACGGCGGTCGGGGGCCCTGCTTTGTCTTGAAAGTGTTCGCCGAGATCTCGAGCATCTGTCTGGCCAGCTGCTGCAGCATCTCCATCACGTGCTTGGCTACTCTTATCTCTGGGGCTACCAGGAAGGGCATCTGTACCTTCTCAGGCTTCCAGTCGCCATAAAGCAACTTCCACAACAACGACAGCCCTTCCAATTGCCTTTGCCGCTCCTGCTTCGCCCAATGGCCGACAGAAGCAAGTGTCTGGATGTCCGACTCGATTTGATCGAGCGAATTCTCCCGACATCGCTGCTGGACAGCTCCCATTGCCTGACCGAGTAACGTACGCAATTGATCCTGCCACGCCTGGAGGATCTGGAGATGTTGCATGCACCGCGCCGTGTCTTCAAGCAGTGTCTGACGGTGCGAGCTCCGAAGCTGGCGACTGTAGGCTCCATACCAAGGCGGCTTCGTGGTGCTCTGAGCATTCCGGCCCATGTTTCCATGGCGGCACACCACTGCATGCTATCGACACACTTGCCCGAAAAGTGAAAACAAAAGAAACATCGGATCCAACGGCTTGCTTAGACTATGATTGCCAGCGGCAACTGTCCAAGTGCCTTCTGCGCAAGCACATGGCATCATTATTGCTTCTACGTTCGCTTATGGGCCCCAAATATGGGCCCTTCGGCCTTTTAGTGGGATCCCGGACCCATAAGGGTACATATAGGGTATATAATAGGGTACAAGGATTTCAGGGTTAAGGCCTGTACTAGGGGCCCATGGTTTCAACCTTAGGCACATGATTCATGATTGCTCAACCCGAATGTGTCAAATCTGCTGCTGCATTCTGAGGTTGCTGTAGGCTTCTTGAACCATGTGCAGCCACAGTGAGGCACTTCTGCAAGTCCTGCACTTGTGCTGTTGTCCACAGGCAAGGCTTGGTTTCACTTTGCCTTGGGATGTAAGCTGGAGGCCAATTCCAAAAAAGATGGCACCGAACATAAACAACCTTTGCAAAGGCTGAAGCTTCATCAAGTTGGGCCAGCAGTTCATGAGGGCCACACACGAGGTTTCGCATTCCAAAGAACTCGCCGGCAACCCTGTCAAGTTTCGAAAATTGCAATGTGGGCTTGAGCGCATGCTGGCCAAAACCAAGCCAGTAATGCACGAGGAGGTCATCCTGAATCCTGAGCACTCGATGCTAAAACCAGAGATGGGGCAGCAGGGCAGCGAGCGGGAAGACCGAGCTGCGAACAGAGCAAGGCACCTTTGCAAACGTGTTGTTTGCGGCTCATTGCTAGACTTTTCTGCACCACTCCCAGCTTACACAAGCTCCCAATATGGACTGAGCCTGCTGAGGTCAAGGTCTTCGTGGTCCAGAGTGCCTGGCTTCCTGGGCAGCTTCAGCCCTGCAGCTAAGCCCTTGCGGCAACAATCCAGGTTCCGCACGCTAGGATCACAGCCCCTTCTTCAAGCGGCTTACCGGACAATATTGCCAGTGCCTGCGTCACACATCTTGGCCTTCCTACTGAAACTCCAAAATCTCGAAAAGGTCACGGTTGCTTCGGAAAGTAGTTGCCGGGGTCCAGGCATAATCATCTCGCATATGCTGGCCAAAGTTCAATAGGATCAACCTTCGCATAAAATCATGAACTAGCAAAGACAAGCAACAGCCCAGACGTGACCCACTTGGATGCTTACACGCCGACGGCGAAGGAGCCCAAGCAGCCGTGCCAAATCTCAGGAAATTGTAGTTGGTTTCTTGAATGTACATCATGCAAGTGTCTTATTCATACTGTGGTTGAAGAAACTACACACGGAGAAGGGTATGACCCTTGTGGCTTCGAATCGACGGATCCTGTCGACCCTTAGCCTGGTAGGAAGAAAACTGTCCTAAGACTAGACACGGCAGAGCCTGATATTTAGGACTACGTTTACTAGTCAGGGCAGTAATGACATGTCTGCAACTTGTACTGCTTTACAGGACATGTCCACAACTTGTACTGCATCAACATGTGTACTGCAGCAACCGAGCAGCATGTACCGTTTAGCTTGTGTCACCCAAGGTTCGTCTGGAAATCTTTGCGCTTTGCGTGAGGTCGGCACCGAGTAGTCTAGCATCATCATAGCATGATGGTCACAATACACAGCGTTTACGGCTGTACAGGTGGAAACCAATGTACAGCGAGGATCGTATCAAATAGTTATGGATACTTCACAAGATAAGCGTCCTTCACTGCATCACAAGCAACCAATGAGCGTCTTCGTTAGAGCTGGTCATCGGGTGCGCAACCTACTTTGTTGCGACTGAGCTCGATGCTTCCTTTTTCGCCGAGGTCACGATTGAGGACACTGGTAGATGCAGTCTACACACACAGGTTCAGTGCAACACGCTCAAATTTTGACTGCTTGGTACCGTGGTACTTGCCCTGACTTCCCGCGCTTCAAACATAGTCTGTTCACCGAACCACAGCCCCACTGCACACGGAACAAAGAAATGGTGGAGTTGAGATTGCAGGGACAGAACGCTGCATGGAACCATATGATTACTTCTGGGTCAAGATCGAGATGCCATGAGTTTTGTGTACACCGGGCATGTGTGAAGTAGCAGAACCAAGGACAGCTTCAGAAGTTGGGGTAGCGGGTAGGCGTACCAACTTGCGATAGCAGGACTAGCCACCTCTGAAATGCTTTAAACAGACTTGAAAGACAAGGCAAAGCCCGCGGCAGCGCAGAGCCGCTCCAAGAATCCGTAGACACCTAGACTCTTGGACAGGCCACATATTCAGAACCGCTCATAACGAGAAACCCAAGCTGTCAGCCTCGCCGCTCTGACTCTGGAACCGCACCAGTGAGCCTCGGTATGAGTCTATCAGCATCATACCCTGTCGCTTGAGGATTCTGAGCTTTCACGGAATCTTCAGTTCAGAGGCCCAGGCACTCGTGGCAAAGCATGCCTCGGAACTTTTACTGACCAAGAGGATCGTTGAATGCTTCCGAGCGCGCACTTGCCTGCGAGACCTCACTTAAATAGACCTTGCAGGAAGCTTCCTGTCGCCTTGAAGCCATTCAATGCTCATAGTGCTCACATGCAGGCACAGAACCCCATTTACGCGATGCAGATGATGCAGCTGCTATAGCAAGCCCTCCACATGCAACATTGAGTGTGCTGTTCGCAAATATCGTGCCATTCTGGAGCGCACCTCGTGCAAAGGCACGATTGTGAAGAAGTGGGAAGCCGTGAGGAGTCGAACTTGCCGGTGTGAAACATCTGGGTACCTTTGCCTGACCTCTTCCCAAAAAGCAGCTCTCAAAGCATCAAAGGTCTCAGAAGCAGGTTCGTCAAGAGCTTGGTCAAGCAACATGAAGTCATAGCCACATAAACTCTGAAAGACCTTGCTCAAGTCGTAATGAACATCTCCCTGTGTTGTTGTCCATTTCCCTAGCTGCCCCCGCATGTCAATCATAACAATCTTGTCATCGCTTGTGCGTAGAATGTTGGAAAACACGGGGTCGCCATGGATGTAGAATGCATGATGTGCCCTTTGTGATGCCTCGAACTCGTCCAGGAACCCAATCAAAACATCGAACATCGTCCGGAAATTTATCCCCAAATCATCTGCCAATGACTCGTACAAAGTCATGTGTTCCATCGTTCTCTTCTTGACCTTGGAGCCGTAATTGGAACACAGGTCGGCATTGCCAGCTCTGCGCTCTCTGGACAGCGCTGAGCCTTCTTCAGGCTGCTGCGTGTGGATAGTGCGCAAGGCCCGCACCAGTCGGCGAACCCATTCTGGCAGCAGCAACCTCGCCGTCACAAGGTGGGAGAATGTCACGCCGGCAACTTTGGCCATGGTGATACTCGATACCGCATCAATACACGATGCATCACCTTCTTCAATTTCGATCAGCTGCGGGAAATACTGCGCAAGACTTGCAGGAATCGATCGGTACCAGTGGCATTCGCCCTTGAGAACCTCAGACTTTGAAGACTTGATGACATGCGACTTGCCAGCCGATCTGACCATGTTAAAGGAGCGCGCATCGATTGCACCATCCAGCACTGCAAGAGCTTGCTCGCCAGAGCCCGAAAACCAGCCGAGGTCACGATTGAGATCCCCTTGTGAATTGATAGCGTGTGCATCAACATAAACGTCGGCATGGGGCTTGCCAAAGTGGAGCTCGTCGTATGGTATGGCAAACTCCTCTAGCAACTTGAAAGTTTCATACCCCTGCGTTGCAATAGCACGATCAACACCTCCCCCATGTGGCATCCCCCTGGAAGTGGTTATGATAATTGTATGCCCTGCTGCGTGGAGCTGACGTAGCAACTCCACGGCCGACCCCAGCAATTGGCATGGAGTTGCACTGTCCGGGGCATGTGTGACCAGCGTCCCGTCGAGATCAAAACAAAAGCGCATCTTCTTGGCCATGGGCACCTGACCGCACGAGACTTTTTGCATGAACGCCTGGAGCTGCGCAAGGTTCGACACTATGGCAACATCGTTGTATTGGACGGGAATGCCTGCAAATTCAGCACCGCGGCCCATCATCCAAGACATGAGGCTAGAAGCGTACAACCCACCCTTTGCCGCTTCCTCCGGATGCTCGAGCAAGGCCTCAGCAGCAGATCGGAACTCGACAGCGTTGCTGAAAATGTAGGTGCCGCAGTTGGCCTGTGAAGAAATTATAGACTTCTCTTTGACTTCCAGAATCTTGCTGTCCTCAGACAGCCTGATGTATGAGAAGGTGGCACGCTGCATCGCGCCAGGCCCGGATGCTTTGTCCAGATCAAAAAACACCGATGCATGGCTGCCAGAATGGGCGCGGCACACGTGCAGGATGTCTACGCCATGATATATAGTAGAACAATCCAGTGTGACCAGGCCGTTCCTGCTTTCTTTGGCCGACATTTGCCGGGTAACAGAAAGAACGGTCTCCAGCCAGCCACGGGTTTCAAAAGGCAAGACCACAACCTTGAATTCGATCTGAGGAAGTAGCCGACGAACAATTCGTTCGAGATCAAACTGCCGCATGATGGCAGCTGGAACAGCCAAGAAAACTGAGTCTGTGGGACGCAGACTCAAGTGGTCCAGCACCCACAGCAAGACAGGGCGTCCTACAACGTTCACTAAAGGTTTGGGCATGCGGAAGCCAGCTTCTGCAAATTCAGTGCCGAGGCCTCCCATTGGGATGATGACGGACAAGGGCTTCTCGCTGTCATCGTGGATCGAAGGTCTGCGCTCCACACTGGCTGGTGAGTTTGGTCGGATGATCGCCTGCAAGCGCCGCTTTAGGGCCAGAAGCTCGCCCTCCTTGTGCTGGATTTCAGCTCGGAGAGACTCCAGATCAGGCCATGGCGTAACTTCCTCGCTCAGTGGGGCTGGGGCCTTCATCTCCTACGGCTTCTGAACCTGTGGCGAGCCATTGGCACATGAAAGGAGCCCTTTGCTGAGTATGCTGGCTGGCGGCTGCAAACGCAAACTCAGCCCGGGACTGGCCTTCCTGCCAAAACATGTGCTTAGATCACTCGCTACAATCAGATCTTGCGCAGTGCCACCTCTGGTATATGGTGGTATATGCTTACACACCAACATATCAATTCAAATCAAAGGTGTCAGTGACATCTAAGCTCGAACAAAATGCGGTGAACAAAGGTCATTTGGCATAAACGAAGTTTCAGGAGCATGCTCCGCAAACGATCTGCTGTTGCACTCCACGCATCACTGTCTAGTGAGATTCCAGGACTTGTTCACAGCCTATCCTAGCTTGCATGCGTGAGCGAGCTGCGGTTTCCTTCAGGTCGTCAGCCTTCAAATAGCTGGCTTTGCTTTGACTAGTGACTACTTGACAGCAGGCTCCACAGTTTAGTGCAGTTGGTGATATTGCTCCAAAACAGTACTACTGTTGGCTCGTAGCAATCGAATTTGGGTGCATCTGCGTGCAACATCAACATCAGCCCTCAAACGCAGCACGCACAAGTTTCCTTCTAATTCTGTGTACAAGTGCGTACCGACACGGCAAGCAAGGAGTGTGACATCTGATTGTCCTGCTTGCGCACTTCTTTACTTGCACTAGTTCTATACTCACTTTGCTGACTGGGGGCGGCGTGTCTGCTCCCGATCCACGACAAGACGTATCCCACAAGACGAGACAAAGGCGAATCGAGGTAGATCAACACCAGGCCCGCTCGAAACTGCACTACCAGGAGTCTCTCTGAGTGAGCACTGTATGTTACTAGTCCCTGTGGCACACGGCTTTTGCAGCATGTCGGTCTGTCATCACTCAACGCTGCAAGCCTTGATTAATTCACATATTGCTGGTGAGCGCCAAGACACCGATTGCTCACCAGACGCACGAAAGGTTCAAGATTGTCGTGAGACAGCTGTGCAAACTGAGTGCTGGTCAAAAGCAGCCTCAGAACGGCTCACGCAACAAGACGGCAGGTTTCTCCCTCGCTTGCATACTACCACTTTGCCTTCAAGGCATTGTCTGAAGCTTCAATACCCCGAAGGTTCTGCCCGTCGTCGCGTTAAACTGCGATGCTGTTGGTACGGATAAGATCAACTAGAGAGGTGGCTCCTTCAACTACCAATGGTTACCAACAGCTTTCAGGTTGCCAGGCGTATCGCAAGAGAATTTGCGGAAAAAGCAACACAACAAACAGCTGTCCGGTCAGCATACCGAGCCTCGAGCAGTCGGTAAGATAGACCACAAGCTGTTTAAGGCATGCATTTGCTTTTGTACACTGTACAGCCTCCTCCACATGCAGATCAACTCGAATGTTGGCTCAAGATGTTTAACATCTGCGACTTTACAGACATTTCCCAAGTAGAGGAGGCGCAGAACCCATGCGGCCCTTAAAAGGCCAGATGCTGCGCTGGACTTGCCCGTTTGTGCCAAAGGTGTCACAAGCCTCCTGGTATGCCAGACATGCCTGATTGCTGTGGAAAGCCATCGCCACCTTTGGTGACAAACACAACAAAAAGAGCAGCTCTGTGTGCTCTCCAGCAAGGAACAGTGGGTTTGCGGGTACGGATAATGAAGCGCTATATACCGCTCCGTGGTGCCATGTGACCCCTGGGCCAGCTTGAAATGTGCGCTCGCTCTATAAATGGGAGCAAAGCTGCTGGAGCCATTGTCACGACAAAGCCACAAGACGTCGCGCAAGACTAAAAAAGCTCATAATATCTTGGAATCATGGTGCTCTGTACGGTGCACCAGATGAAGTTGAAGTAGAAACAAGTAGCCTCGACCAGCATCAAGTTGCCGATCTACTGCACAACTGAGCAGAGGTAGCCAGTCACATGCAAATGGTCTCTAATCTGCAAGGTCCTGAGCGAGAACCTGACATATGCTCCCGCTGCCAATGATCCGTTATGCCAAGCTTCGGATACAATGATTTTAAGGCCCAACTCTTGCAGATTGAACTACTGTGACTCACGAATCGGCAAGGCCAGGGTATCTACAAAACGGCTGTCGAGCTTGATGCTTTTCGTTGACGGCTTAAGTCACCTATCTCGACATGGCCTGTAGTGCCTCAAATCACTTCTTGACAGCGATGTGGACCAGGTCCGCTGAAGCATGCAGATCGGAGCGGAGCATTTGGCAGGAAGTTGGCTCCTGGCTTAGCATGCTCTCCGCTGTGTCACGGAAACGGGCGCAGGCCCTGGGCGTCATCCCCAGCTTCAAGTTGATATCATCAAAAAGATGCGCAACTTCAGGGTCTGAAATAAATTGCGAGCAATGGCTCACCATGTCCAGCACACCGGCTCGAGATCCCTGGAAGCCATACTGCGGCAAAATGCGGCGCTGAACGGGCAGGGCAAGTTCTGCTCGGCCTCGCAGGTGGTAGTATCCCTCACATGCCTGCTCCACATCCGCACTGCGCTTCAAGCAGGAGATTCCGTGCTGAAAGCTGGGGCTACCTTACTGCCACGTCCCAGCTCAAACAGAATCAAGCCGGGCTTGGCCGCGCGTAAGGCACCAAACAGTACAACATGTCCAAACAGTAAAACATTTGACATAGCTTGTCACCAAGACGCTAAAGGCAGCCAGCTGTTTGCGCAGTAGTTTCGCCACCTCAGATGCTCATGCTTCGTCCCAATTGCACATTGTGCCAATTAAATACAATTGTGCCACTGCTATGGTGCAGCAAGCATATGTGAGGCTATGATCTCCCAAGAGGAGAGCAACGCAGTGCATCACAGTGCATCCTTTCTGCAGGCTGCAGGAGGCACGCAAGACGCTGCCCGGCAAAGCGCACGCGAGGACACGTGAAAAGCCAACGCAGACGCTGGCACATACCATGACAGATTTCATGAAGAAGCAAAGGCAGTCCAGCCCAGCGTTCCTGGAGAGCCGCTGGAAGAACTTGGGGCTTCATGCCTTGGAAATAAGATCAACATTCCAGCGAATCAACGTGATGTGAACCTGGCAAACTCTCGTGGTTCGGAACCCCCATCGATGCGCGATCGATGCACGCTCGCGCGCTCGGTCAGGACTTCTTAATATGAGCGAGCGAAATTCATGACAGCAACGTCGTTTGGACGATGTGAATATGCGGAAAAAGAATAGGGATCAACAGAGCCAAAAAGCTGTGAAGGCCGTGGTGGGCTTGGAACCTGTCCTTCCCAGCGCCGCCTGGAGGAATCGACAAGGCTCAACCAAAGCCTTCAAATCGCAAGTGTGTTGGGATTCTTAACGCGCCTTGTCCATCACCAATGTGCGACCAGTTTGAGCATAGGGGAAGAGGGCCTCCTCAATGGCGACGTTGTTGACAAAAACATCTGCATCCTGCCAGGCGAGGCACTGCGGTCATCCCGGACATTTCCAACACCTTGCACCTTGCTCCCCAAAGTTTTCAGGAAAGCCAAGCTGCGTTGTCAAACTTCTGCATCTCGCCGTCGAGGTCCTGCCAAGGCTAGCTGTGCTCGTTACATACCCGAACTCCTTGGGCAAGCCGAGGCCAACAAAAGCTAGTCAGGCTTTAGCACTGGAGGAAAAGAGGGGGGAAGGTGGATGCCAGGGAGAAGCGCAACCCCTCCCCAAACCCAGCCACTTCCACTCAACTTTCCACTCCTGTTTCCACTCCACTTGCTAACCATGTTTGATTCCACGTCCCACTTTACTCTCCATTCTACTGTCCTGTCCAATTTCCGCTTTCCACTCTACCTTCCACTCCACTGCCCACTCCACTTTCCATTCGATTCTCCTCTTCACCCCAACCCGCTCTTTGCTTAATTTGGCAGCCCTTCCAGTCCACTTTCCACTCCACTCCCTACTCCTTCAATTTCCACCCCACTCTCCGATCTCCTCTGCACTCTCCACTCTCCACTCCACTCTTCACTTTCCACCCTCCGTTCCACTCCCCTCCCTTCCATTTCGCAATGGCGACCCCGAGCGCGTTTGTCCTTGCAAGGGTCCACAAGCCAGGACAGTTACCAGCATGGCGCTCCCAACAGTCCCCATCCTGAACCACGCACGAGACTGGTGGCCCATGCCTGCATCTGCTGGCATCTGTCACACGCGATGAACACGCGACGCTGCAAAACCGGCAACAGATACGAGCATCGCAACCCCAAGCTCCCCTTCCGCGTGACTCTTGGCACTTGTCACGCGCAACAAAATGTGACCCTGCAAGCAGCATGTTACATGTCGCGTAACCACATAAGGGTAGGGAACCTACCACGGGAGAAGAGAGGTCAAGCATGAGGGAGGCCAGATGCAATCGGGTAGGGTAGTGAACACTGGAAGAGTAGTCAATGAATCACCCTTTAAGTCCCCCCCTATTCTGTTAATTACATACATATATAATTTCATGCATATACTTATATGTGTATGTACATATATATATATATGTGTGTGTGTGTTGGTGTCTTTTTTTATTTTTGGTTTGTTGGTTTGATTTTTACACAAGCCATCAATTCAGCAGTTATATCAACTGAATCAAAATCCGATATCGCAAAAATGTTGTTTACGGTATTTTCACTACATAGCCCAAGGCGAACATACATCTATCCAGCTATATACATATACATATATATATACATACAGATAGGCACAATTCCTGAATAAATGTGACTCAGATTTGTGCAGGAATTAATAACTAATCAGAACATCCCGCCTATTGGAGACCGTGGGAATAATATACATACGAGGCTTATATATGTCTATATGTATATATATATGTATATGGTCCCCCCCCTCCAAGAACCAACCTCGAAGCATTTTTCAACATTTCCATGGTTCCAACCACAAACTATGTGAGACCGCAGATCCTTGTCAAAAAC